TGTTAAATAAATAATAATATAATGTAAATGTTGGTAGTCAAAGTATGTATTGCTAAAGCTTCACAAAATAAAAAAGTGAATTTATTTAAAGGACAAACTGTAGAAGGGCATGGATTTTAGCGTTTAGCTGTCAGGGTTTTACTATTTCTGTTTTTACCGAGCCTGCCCTGAACGCACCACCCGGACTCAGCTGTAGGTTCGTGCGCGCGCTGCGTCGTACTGCGCAGGCAGAAAGCAAAGATGGCCGCCTGTGCGCTACGAAGGGGCTTGCTGAGCGGTGTCAGCAGATACAGCAGGAAACACTCCCACAGAATACTGAGCGTCTCTGACATTAAAGGTGGCGCTGAGGCCAACAAGCCGTGGCTACAATGCCGAGCCTGCGGCCTGCTGGGCGGCGTCCAACAGAGCAGGTTAATGTCGTCACGGTAAGAGACACCGTCCTTCTAAGCTAGCACTCACGCGCGCACCAATGGCTATCGCTAGGTGCGATAAGCTTTCTGTGGCACCAACGCGGCTTTGGCTGTTATTGCAGAGCAGAGCGCTGGATCTGACCGTGTTGTTGTCTTGTTTTGTTTAAAACGTTTTAATTTGGCACCAGAAGAAGAAAGTTGTGCTAGTTAGCCAAGCAGGCAGCGCGTGTTGAGCAACATCTCCCTGATCTGCAGCCTCCGACCTGCTGAGTGGAAACGTTGGATAACATGAAGATCACACCCACCGCTTTATGAAACCAACCTGCTTCACTTTAACGTTTTTCCTCAATCAGGAAGTCATTCTAGGACACTGAGCTGCTACTAGGATCCTCCAAATACTTTAGAGACTTTTTAAAATGTTAAATGTTGGTCTGGATTTCAGTTCTGCTGCTGTTTTTTTTAATTTCTCTCTCATAAATCATTTAGACTCTTTTGAGCTCATCATTCTCCAGTAAACCTTCAGATTATTCATCTCTGTTTATTTGGGAAACGCTGTTGAAACAATTCAGCTTTGTTAGTTATACACACATATAATTATATGCATCCATATGTTTGTATATGGTAGGGGTGGAACGATTCACAAAATCCACGGTTCGGTTCGATTCACGGTTTCGTGGTCAGGGTTTTCGGTTCGGTATATGTTGATTGTTACACCGAAATCCCATAAAAATAATGAATTGTAATTATTTTAAATGATCCGTGGAAACCCTGGATAATTTCCGCATGTTTTGCTGCTCTGAATGTAATCATCTGGCGCATGCTCTCTACCATCTCCAAGGAACTCAGAGCGGAGCGACGGGAGCCACAGTGGAGGCTGTAGGCTTTGCTTTGAGCAGCCGGTCTGGAGCGCTGACGGAGTATGAGGGATTTCG